CTTCAATGATTCCACTGCATAAACTGCACAATCCTGCTTTCGTGGTTGAACTAGTGAAGATAGTAGTAAAGAACTTGGGCCTTTTAACGCATATTTACCGGATATCAGTGATTTTGTATTTTTATTATTTCGCGGTAATTTTCCGCTGGCTTTTTCATATAATACTTCTTATTTCCTGGAATCCATATGCTGTTCTAAATCCTGAAAGTTTTCTGATTTTTATCTAAAGTATTGTTATGCATGGAATCTCAGGAAATATATTTAGATGATAGTAGTTGTCATAGTAGTCAAGATAGTGATTATGTATATGATAGTCTAGACTATTATTCAGATAGTAGTGATAGTTAAGACAGTAGCTTTATAGATAAAAGTGAACTGGATGATGATGCTCATTACTTTGATGACTAGGAAAATATTTATGCAAAACATTTATACAATATATACAAGATATTTTAATGATGGCAATATATTAGGAGTAGAAGAGAAATTATATGATGTCAAATATAATCTGAGGAAATCAAGGATAAGCCCTAATAATATTTTAACATAAAATATCTATGTAATATCATCATATAATGTATTGCAATAAAATAATTAAAGATAAATTGAATCAAGTAATGTGTCCCTTCCATTGTAAGGATTATTTGATTGTGTGCACCAATTGCAGGCGGGTAGATGGCTATGAACCAACAAAAGAGGCTTGTGGCTTCCATGATAACAAGTGTAAAATAAGAGTTTGGTCAATATATCTCAAGAAATACTATCTTAATGGAGTAATATTTAATTTAACCAAATAGTGTGAAAATAATAACTACAAAGGATTATCGTAGACTTTGAAAATAGAAACAATGTATTGCTACAGATCAGTGGTGATAGAAAGCGGATGGTTGATATCAATTTTATCATGATATTAAATGATACGGAGATCAATATAGATTACATAAAAATAACCAAATCAAAGAAAACCCTTTAATATTATCACAATCTTTGGAACAATATTTTGAGAGTCACTAATAATGACTACAACATAATACTTAATAAATAACTCATTACAAGTAAAATACTTCTTATACTGTTGCTCAAAGCATCGACCAATGAACACATGTCTATGATAATATTATTTACAGTTGTCAATGGGTCAAAATAACTCTCTTTGTATAATGATGTAGCTTCATTTATTGCGTTTTTGTTTAGTGATTTATCTTTATGATTGACATGCATAACACTCCTCTTTTTGAAGCTCATAATTAATACGTTTATATTAGTCAGATAGAAATGTGTTGCAGGCCCCTTGCAACCATATTTTTAATGAAATTCATATGTTCCATCCATATCAAACGTTAATTTCTCACTGTATACTGTAAAATGTGAATCATTAGAAACTGCGTATTTTGATGTTCACTTCCAGAATTTGGTTTCATTTTCACTATCACGACCCATTTCAAAATTAAAAAAACATACAGGTAGAAATATGTTGCTGTTTGTTTAACACCATCCACATATGATTTATTTGCAGCATCATTTACCATTTGTTAAAGTAGTTAGATTGATTTTTTTTTAATTGAACATATTTATATCAGCGCACATTGGTTTTGTTCAATCAGTTTTCAATAAATTGTTTGTTTGTGCGTCCACATATGATTTATTTAGAGCATCATTAGCATCAATTGGTGTGGCTTAATGGATTATTTTACCATTAGCCATAATAAAATCAGTGGCCATTGCAGTCTTTCCATCATAGCCAAAATATCCTTTATCATCTTTGTCACATTTTGGACTCTGGGGACCAGTATCTCCCTTCAATCTTCTGAGACCTTGCAAACCTGGTGGACCACGTATACTGATTACTCTGTTTTTTCTTGTATCACTACAAGCAAAAATTTCCATACATATTATATGATTATACCAATTAAACTGACTTTTTAATAAGAATCTGACTTTAAGAACCACTATCCAACATTTCTTGACCTGTTTGAAGCCTTACTTCATATCCAGCAGTTACACTATTAGGATGGAAAACTTTGATGTCCGTCCATTTATTTCTTCAATATAGACGAACACAATATTAGGATTGACACTCCCTGGACTCATATGTATATTACAAGCTGGGCCTTTGTATCCGTCTTTGAAATTAATTTCATAAATACCAGATATATCAAAAGTTATATGACAAGTTGATGTTTTGAAGGAGAAATGGGCGCTATTTGATTTTGAAACATTTGCTCCACTTGTGACAAACCCTACCGTGTAACTGTTACTATGTAAAAGATTATTACAATAAAAATAAACACTTTCGCTTTTATCATCACTTTCTTTGTAATGGGATTATCATTATTGACTGCATCTTGTATTTTTAACTCTTTGGTCATTTTAATTAGTTTGGTGAAATTAAGAGTACCATTAGTTATTTCAAACTTTTTATCCCACGCACTAAGTAGACCATCATTGTGATATCCCAAGGTGCCAAAAACTATACCACGAATGACTAAATCTTGTGCAAAAGCCACACTTGACTTTCTCTTCATCAGATATTAAGGTGTTACACTATTGTAGTTGTGTAGATGTACCAATGATCTGGTACAGTTGATACCCTGGAAATTGTTTCAATACTACTTGTGGCTGATGTGTCAACTGATGAATGTGCAATAGATGCAGAGGGAAAGCTAACTCAAATACCACTGTATATTCATCAGTGGTAAGTTCATACATGTTTTGCGCTTTGCAAATGGAGTTTGATGAAAGACTTCGTCTTGATTAATGAATTTAACCCCGGTAATGTCATCTTCATCACCGAACTGCCCACTTTTGTTTCATTAGATATGAAAATGTTTCTCACAAATCTGCATCATCAACACACAGATTTAATCTGTTATTAACATATTTCTGATAATTAGTAGTCATTAGTGTATTGTTATTGTTGATGGTTGACTGACAAAATTAACATCGGTAAATGGTTTTAACCCGATGGTAACATGTAATAGTGTAGTTTGATCGTCCGGGTGAGTGTAGTACTGAGAAGGACTGTTGTCGGTAATGGTGACTGACGTTTCGACAACCTGAGCGGAATTCATCATCAGAGTCAAGTGAAAGGTTGACCGGTGTCTCCTTCTCACCTTTGGACCCTGAGGACCAATATCTCCCTTTGATCCTTGTAGGACCTTGAGACTCAGCACCCTGTCACCTTGTCACCCTACTCTCCCCTAGCCCCCTGTGCAACAGTATCTCCTATTAGGCCTCTACCTCCTTTCTTTCTTTTTGGACCAGTATCACACTAATCACTTTTTGGTCCTAGCTACCCTGCTGGTCCTTCAACACCTTCCTCAGTTTTATCTATTTTGCTATGATTTCTAATAAATATACCCATTATAAAATGCCGTTTGATGAATTTTCATTATAAGCATCATCAGTTGGAGAAAACACTTTTGCGATATTATGACATGTCGTCCCCATACTGTAGACATGCGTGTAATACAAACAATAGTATCCACATAAGATACTGAAAAATGTCCGAGTATTTAATCATCTCTTTTGATGTTTATAACAACCCAATGTGTACCACCACCCACACTGTCATCAAGATTATCCTATGCTATGCTTATCACTTCTTTGATCTCCTACCACTTTGCTTCTTCCTTGGTTTTATAATAAAAGGACTTCCTGGCGTTATAGCTTCTGCTAGGTTATTAATCTGACCTGCAATAAACATATTCTGATACGGTATAAGTAGTGCTATTTTATTAACGGATATCATTTAAATATTTAAGCTACTTTTAAACTAGGTTTCGAAATTTGTGCATTGTATTTGTGTCTCCTTGTTTGACCATTTAAGCTGTCGAAGCATTTGACTCGGCTCATGAAGTTTATGCAGTTGAACAGATAAAGTTGTCTACGTATTTTATCTGGTTGAACCATTTCAGCAAGTTAGGCATTTTTTCATTTAAGCTTGACTGCCCATTTAAAAAGTAGGACTAATTAGACTAGTTCGACTATTTTGACTTCTTAAACAAATTGTGCTAGATTTTTCATTTGTGCACTTATACAATTAAAGTTAGTTTAATCATGCCACAACTTCAAGCAGTTTAACTGTCTTTCTTAGTTTGACTATCTAACCAGTTGAACCATTAAAGTTAGTTATGCATTCTGTCCACTTGAACCACTGAAACTTGGACGGCCATTTGAACAACCTTAACCAACGAAGATAGATTGTACAATTTGTGCGGTTTAATTGTCTGAGCTACTTTGAATGTTTCAAGATTTAAACTATTAAGCTTGATTGTGCAGTTCGCGTATTTGAACTTATCGATCTCGTTATCCACTTTGCCTAGTGGAACTAATTGACCCCGTTTGAGCATTTGAACAACATCAACCATTTCGATAGATAGTGCAATTTGTGCACTTCTACTGTTTCCGCTAGTTTGAGTATCTTAACTAGTTAAACCAAGCTAGGTAGTGCAGTTTGCACAATGGAACCATTTGAGCTAGCTGTGCATTTTGTGCAATCGAACTATTTAAGCCAGTTTAACCATTTGCACTACCTTAATCAATTAACAAAGATTTTTCAATGTGCGCAGTTTTACTGCCTTGACTGGTTTGACCGCTTAAAGTACTTCAACCAGTTAAGATAGATTTTTCTCAGGTGACCTTAGTTTGACTGTTAAACCGGGTGAAACATTTCAGCTAGATTGTCCAGGTTGTGAGGTTGCATTGATTGGGCTAGTTGTGGTTTTTTTTCTCATTTGAAGTCAATTAGCTAGTTTAACCAAACCTATTTTTACTAGTCGAAGTAGTTCACATGGTCACAGTAGCCTAAATATTTATATGATACCCATTGATAAAATAGCACAACTGATACCCTGTAAGAATATGTTTACGGCGGGCCAGATTACTAAACTAGCAGAAGCAACCATTAAGTCCTTTTATTATAAAACCAACGAAGAAACAAATTGGTGGGTTCCTCGGTACATTGCTTGCAAGTATTGATGTGTCATTGTTATTAAAAGCATTAACTAGTAATGGTCTTCAGGGTTATAGCAGATATCAACCGCCATCATCTCTTCTACCACCAAAATCAGATGGTATTGACATGGAGGTTAGAGCATACAACGAGTCATTGGTGCCATATACAGCACCACTATCTCTCGGTCGTTGGTCTAAAGGGGAAGAAGTGAATCCTCAAGCACCACCACCATTCATTGATACCTGGCCTAATTACGCAAGTGCCAAAGGTGCTAGTTCTAATAAAAGCAAAAGAAAAAGACGATCAAGGGAAACGGACTACTGTTGTGGAAAAAGTCGTCATTCAATTAAGTCCCTCTATTGGGTGCAAGTTTGTTCATAGGGCATTGTCAAATTATGATATAATTGACTGGGTAAGCTTAATGGGGATAAAGCAGTTTACGGGTGTGTTTTTCTACGTGTTATCGATGTTGATGACAGTATGGGTGGTGGTACACATTAAATTGTTATAAAAATCAAAAAAGATAATAAAATACTTGGATAGTTTTGGTCTCAATTGTCCAAATGACGTTATGAAGGGGTCCAACACATTAAACCTCGATTACGTGTTTTCAATGTCTTGTGTGACTACTGTTTTTATTACATGAATGTCCACAGAGTGAGGAAGACATGTTATAGATGTCGTAAAAAAAAGTTTCTCCCTATTTATTATGCCTATAGTAAAAATTCATAAATCAGTATTTTATAATAGGTATATTTCCTGGAAATCATATCAAGATAGATACAACTGTGAAATGAGTCGAAGGACCAGCAGGTCAACCAAGATCAGAAGATGATCAAGATGATACTGGTTCTAAAAGAGACAAAGGAGATAGCGGCCTAAAAGGAGATACTGATGCACAGGGGGCTCGGGGAGATCAGGGTGACAAAGGAGATACTGGTACACGAGTTCCCAAGGGTGATACTGGTGCAGAAGAGGCACCTGGAAGTAGTGGTACTGGGTATCAGGGTCCTAAAGGGGACAAAGGGGGTACCGCAGCACAAGGACCAAAAGGAGATATCGGTCCTCAGGGTCGAAAAGGTGACAGAGGAGACACCGGTCATCAAAGTCCCAAGGGTGATAAAGATGACATTGGTATTGCAGGTAAAATAATGATGGTACAAGAGTAATGGCTGGTAATTTGAATATGAAGAGTAGAAGTATAATTAATGTCAAACAGGTAGAGGGACATGCTGCTGATTTTAAGTTTGTCGGTACAACGATCGGCAATAATATTAATACACTTATTACTACTGACTATCAGAAGTATGTTAATAACAGATTAAATCTGTCTGTTGGTGGTGCAGATTTGTAAAACACATTTTCATATATCATGAATAACAGTTGGTAGTTCAGTAATGAAGATGACGTTGCAGGGGTTAAATTTATCAAGCAAGACTTTCATCATAAAAAAACCTAAGAAATGAAAGTTCATTGGATAGCACAAAACTGTATGAACCTACAGCTGGTGAATATACAGTGGTATTTGAATTATGCTTTCCCTCTACATCCACTGACCACTCATCATCTGACACCTCAGCCACAAGTAGTATTGAGACAATTTCTAAGGTATCAACCAGTAAATCTGCAGATCATGTACAATAATGTAACACCTTATTATCTGATGGTGGATTTAGAATTTAAGGAAAGGTCAAGTAGGGCTCATGCACAGGATTTAGTCATTAGTATCAGAGTTTATAGCATGTTGAGACATCACAACGATGTTCTACTCAGTGTGGGGGATAAAAAGTTTGAAAAAACTAATGGCACTCATAATAGATATTTGGTTTGATGGAAAGACTGCAATGGCTACTAATTTCATTATGGTTAATAATAAAATAATCCATTTAGCCACACCAATTGATGCCAGTGATGCTCTAAGTAAATCATATGTGGACTCACCAACAAACAATTTACTGAAAACTGATTGAACAAGATCAATGTGCGCTGTTTTTAATATCTCCAATAAAAAATCAATTAAACTAGGCAAACAAATAGTCATGATACAGCAAATAAATCATATGTGTATGGTGTTAAGCGGCAACATTGGGTTTGAAATGGGCCATGATGATAAAAATGAAACCAAATTCTAAAAGTCAAGATCAAAATATGCAGTTTCCAATGACTTACATTTCACACTATACAGTGAGAAATTAACGTTTGATGTGGATGGAACACGAATTTCATTAAAAAAATGGCTTCAAGGGGCTTGCAACACATTTCTACTGCAAAGCACATGATACTTCTGGATCCATTAGCAAGCGATACAGTGTAATCACACAAAACACACAATTAATAGATATATGTTTCATTTTTTTGGAATATTTGAAACATTTACCAGTCATTCCCTATCACTCAGTGTGGTCTAATGCCACTCTCAATGGTGGGCTTTACGTACAATTAACGATAGAAAAATATCTGACTAATATAAACATAATATGTGTGAGCTTCAAAAAGAGAAATGTCATAAACTTCAATCATAGAGATAAATCACTAAACAAAAACGCAATAAATGAAGTTACATCATTATACAAATACTACCATGAGAAGCTCCGATTGTTACAAAAAGCCTAATGGTCCAAGAAACTAAATCTGTTGTGCAATTTGCCATCGTCTTGTTTAATTGTAAGTGGTACTATAGCTGGAAGGGTAACAACGGGTCCCATCGTACTTGGCATTATACCTGGTAGTGGTTTGATATGAAAACCACTGTACTGAGATATTAAAAATATCATATAAATATAAAATGAGATATTAAAGATTTTAAGAAGAAGATCGATTTATGTTGATTTGCTTTTACCATCTATGTAAAGACAGTCACTGATTTAAGGTCTTTTTAAAGAGGGGTTTAATTTGATAACGAGAGTTATATGGACCACTTCAAAACTGTAGATAACATTATCATAGACATATGTTCATTGGTTGATGTTTTTTAGCAACAGTGCAAGTAGTTTACTTGTGATGAATAATTTATTAAGTGTTATGTTGTAGTCATTACTACGTAGTTTCAATGATCATTTAAAGTACTCCAGTTAAGAAAGATTGTGCAATTTTTCTCAGTTGACTTTTGTTAAACGAGTTTAACCATTTCAGCTGGATTGTCCAGATTGTGCAGTTAAACTGATAAAGTTAGTTATGCATTTTTTTTCAATAGAACCAGTTAAAGCAGTTTGATCATCTGATGTACTTCAAGCAACGGAGATAGATTGGTCAATTTGTGCGTTTAGGTATCTTCGCTGGTTCGACTATTTTACCAGTTAGTAAGACTATCAAAACCACTGAACTTCATAAATTTCCCAAATCTATCTCAGCTGGTTGAACTAGTTGAAATAGTCAGATTAGCTTCAATTGTTGCAGAGGAGAAAATACATAACCAGCTTGATAGGTTGAACTGCACAAACTACTGAATCTAGTTGAACAAGTGGTTAAATGATTCAACTAGCGAAAACCGTAAGAGTGCACAAATTGCACTATCTAACTCAAATGGTCGATGTAGTTCAAATGCTCAAAGTAGGTTAAATTGGTTCAACCACAAAAAGTGCACAACTAACGATAGGATCAACTGCACCAAATGCACAATCAAGCTTAATTGGTTATACTCGTTAAATAGTCAAACTAGCTGAGACACTTAAACTGCACAAATTGTACAGTCGATCTTAATTGGTTAAAGTTGTTCGAATGGCTATACTAGGGTCAATGGTTCAACCGGACAAAATGCATCACTGGCTTAAATAGTTGAACTGGTTAAAAAGTGAAACCAGGGAAGACAGCTAAACTGTTTGATTCTTGAAGTGCACAACGGCAAAATGTAGGCAAATTTGTTTACGAGGTTGAGATGATCAAAATAACTTAATTAGTTAAACCAAGTAAAAATTCCATTCGGAACAAGAAAAATCTGAATTAGCTGATTTGATTAAACTGGACAAAGCCAGGAAGTAGCCTAAATGGTTTCACCGACTGTATCAATCGAGCAATTACAGTTTGACCATTTTAAACTACTTTAACCAATAAAGATGCATTGTGCTATTTGTGAAGTTGAATGTTTTTACTAATACTACTACTTAATCATATGAACCAATCCATCTAGTTTGATTATCTTAACTAGTTAAACCAATTAAACCTGAGCAAAAATGCACAAATTCCAAAATCTACCTTAATTGAAAGTGGTTCACACAGTCAAAGTAGCTTAAATGGTTTGACTAAAAATATATAAGTATGATATGCACTTTTTCCGGTTCAACTGTTTTCAACTGAACGAAGCCCATAACCAGCGTCATCCATTCAACTGCATAATTTGAAAAATTTAGCTAAAATACGGTCTGACGATCGATTCAAGGTCAACTGAAAAAAATTGTACAATATGTCTACAGTGGTTGAAAAAACGGCACAAAGTGCAGAATCCAGCTGAATTGCTTGAAGTACTTAAAACTAAAACAAGTTTGATTATTAAAACCAGGTAAACTAATCAAGCTCTACAACCCAGTAAGCTTCTTTGGCTATTTTCACTAGCTCAACTAAAGTAAGTTGTGCAGTTAAACCATTTAAGGTAGGGGAGCATTTCGTTTAATTGAATCTTTTCAGCTAGTTTGATCACATTAACGACTTAAACTATTCAATATAGATTGTACAATTTCTGCAGTTTCACTGTTTTCGCCAGTTTGATTATTTAACCAGGTCAACCAACTAAGCTTGATTGAAAAGTTTGTCCAGTTGAACCTATTAAGTTGCTTATGTATTTTGTCCTTTTGAACAATTTTAGGTAGTTTAATCATTTGAACAATTCTAATTTGCAATTTTGCTACTTTATCGTTTTGACAAAACTCAACGACAAGCTGAATTGATTGAAATGGTCTAAGTGATCAAGCAGGCAAAAATAGTGAAACCAAAAAAACCTAAACAAACTAGCTGAATTGACTTGTTTGCTACTGAATTACGGTCTTTTTACTTGTGTGGCATTAAACAAGTTTTTGCCTGTTTGCAGCCAACCACGCCGATTTTCGCTCATTTAATGATTTATGTGGCCAAATTATGCTTTTCTCAGCTTTTCCGCACCGAGAACATGTACTTTTTTTTTGCAGCTTTTCTGGGCTTTAACTCACGAAAAGCAACATTTTCCCTTTGTTACTAAACTAAGCTGTTTTCAGCTTAATCATAACCATTACTAATTCTTCAATTGTTATTGGTGCCTTCCCAGCTTAATATTTTGCTAATCATCCTGTGCAGTTGTAATCGAACAGTGTAATCAAACAGTTGACTGTAATCGGATACCTGTAATCAGACAGTTGAAGCAGCCAATCAAACTAGGCCTACTCATCCAAATCTGCCAATCAGAGAATTGATCATAATAACCAAAGAAAAACTAGGCAGTTTCCAAAATGGAGGAATTTTTAACTAAAGACATTGTCTCCACTGAAGATGTTTTTTCTAGGTGTATTTTCGGAAACTGAAATGGTTATGATTAAATGGTAACCGGATTTCTTGTTGTCCAGTTCTGTTTGTAGGCATGCACGTGATAAAAAAATCGGACTCCCACCTCGCGGTCCTCCGATTTTATTAATCACTCGTATGACCACAGATCGCATTGGATTCCACTCAGTCCTATTACCATTATTTATGACACTAAAAAGATGTTTTCGTTTGTTTTTCGCTAAATTTACGCTGCTTTTAGGTTTATCTCACTGAAGACTAAGTTTTAAGCTGCTGTGTAGCTAAATTACATCTCTTTCAGATTTATCTCACCGGAAACCTTTTTCTTCTTGTTTGCAGGTGAAATGAGCTGCTTTTAGCTTTATCACAGCCAAAAAGGTTGTGGATGAGCTGAACGTTTCTCCTGAAGAAGAAGATTTCACCAGGCCAGGACGATTTATTATTCAAATTCGTGTGTTACACACGATGTGGAATATCTATTGATGTTTGGAGACGTTCAAGCTATAACCCTGGTTCTTGTCGTAATAGCACTCGATGACCTTACTCTGAGAGCCACCAGACCTCAAGGATTACTCCTAGTTGTAAGTCACTCAATGCACTCAAGCTAAAACAGCGTAATTAATGAGCAAAGAAGCTAGAAAGCTAAGAACTGGTTGATTTTCCAGCGAAAAGGGAAAAGCCATTGTCTAGCTAACACTAGGGT